ACATGTTTATTTCGATAGTAGGCAGTATTTGAAGTATGTAATGGGTACCACAGCCTATTCATAAATATTTCCTAAGCATGCCCACGTCTTTGTATAGCCCCCCCCAATATAACGGTACCTCCATTTATTCGGTATTTTGATTATTTTAGCGACATTATTCGCCGGAATTGTTTCAAATTCCGTATTTAAAGATCTAAATGGATACTGCAGCCTATGATAAAAACTACCTATGCAGGTCCCCGTATAAAGTTCATCACATAAGCGGACTCTTTTTGGAATTTCTTGAAAAATTTCAAGTTCTTGGTTGGGAGGGTATTTAAAGGTCGGCCTGGCCGAACTGCTGCTTTTTACTTGTTTGCATTCAGTTTTTTAATGCCATCGTTGTTTTTTTTTACATTTAAATATCTAGCCTTTACCGTAATTCGATAAGTGAACATATGTTTTTTATCGCAAGGGCAACTAAAGTCCTGTCTCATATAACTATTGAAATCAAAAAAACCCTTTCTATGGGGAGAATACCTTCTCACTTTAGTTTTCACAACATTTTGTCGTCAAGTCGCTTCAAAACATTTTGATGACACCTTCCTCAAACCACCGTTAATATTTCTCATCATGGTTATGATTTCATTGTAATTTGATTGTATCATCGCCTTTTTTTAATAAAACACAAATTACTTTATTTCTCATTTGATTTGTAATTGCTGTTGTTGTTGTTCGTGTTTTTTTTTTCTCATCGAGATATGATAAGACAATATATTATTGTTCAGAAAACTGACCAACTTTTTTTTGCCAAGCTCAAGCAAACAAACCACTGCCCAATAATTTTTTAATAGGAACCACAACTACAACAACAACAATAAGAAAACAATTAAACAATCACAATCCAAAATAGTTATTTGTTTATATTTCAATATTTGTTTTGTCTCTCCTGCTCTTTTTCCAACGACGTCGCTAATCTCAAGTTGTTATTACCACTTTTGGTTAAATATCTCCCAAAGACCAGTCAACAGCGGCGATAACAACTCATTTTTATGAATGAATCATAGAGAGTGGTATTTTGTCAACAAACCAAAAAATGCGAAAACTGAAAAAAAAAACAAAACGAATTGAAAAAGATTAATTGTTGGTTGTAGGAGCGAAGAGAACATACACACCACACACATGAAGAAAGGAGCTTAAAACATGCAATAACGTTAGTTGTTGTGCACAGTGGTTCATAAGCAAAAGTTTTCATGAAAATATTATATTTAAAACAATTAAAATGTCACTTGGTTTGCCGAAAGATATATAACTTTAGCATGGGACCATTTATTTATATATATATTTTTTTTGGGACGTATCGCAAATATTGGTCAAACTCGTTTTTTATACCCTCCATCGCGGTATATATTTTAACTGTGTCATACCTCTTGATCATCATAAAATTCTGTGTCGAGTTAGCAACATCCGTCAGTCTGTGGAAATCACTCCAGCCTCCAAAGGAATTGAAGTAGGTTGACACAATGTTACTCCGATGTGTGTTTGGTCTGCAGTACTTTTGATATTGAAAATGGGCTATATTAGGCCACATATTCTGATGATTTTAGCGACATTATTCACCGGAATCTTTTCAAATTTCGTAATAAAGTTTCGTAATGGGTACTACAGCCTGTGACAGAAAATTGACTATGTGGGTCCACGTCTTCATATAACGCCCATATAACAGTTCCACCCCATATCCAGTATTTTGATGATTTAAGCGACATTACTCACCTGAACTTGTTTCAAATTTCGTATTTACACTTCGTAACGGCTACTACCAGATCTCAGGTATAACCCTCATATAACGGTACACTCCTATATTCGGTATTTTGATCATATTTGCGACATTTTTTTATTGTAATTGTTTCAAATTTCGTATTTGCCGTTCGCCTGTGACAGAAAATGTCAGGTTCAGATCTTCGTATTGCCCCCCATATAATGGTTCCTCCCCATGATCGGTATTTTAACGATTTTTTGTAGTATTTTTCAAGGTTTTTTTTTATGAAAATTTCCAAATTCCTTCCAAATGGTGGAGGGTATTCAAAGTTCGGCCCGGCCGAACATACTGCTTTTTTACTTGTTTTAGTGACAAGTTTATTCAAACAAGTTTCACTCTTTATTCGAATTCGAGCGGTAGCTCTCAATGTATTTCGAAGTTATGGTTTAAATCGTCCGTCCGTTGGGTACAATTTTTGGATGGCCAAGCTATTCGGATGAAATATGTAGGTTACTCTTTCGACAAGCTGGTCTAGAGCTCTTACGAAATCGGGCGTTCAGAAGTTATCAATTTTGGTCAACTGCTGATGGAGACGACTGCCTTCCAAAGGTGTACGCCGTTCACACCTTTTAAGCACCTCTATTTCGGCATCACCTCTGCATTCCATATAGAGGTGATATTCTGTATCCAAGGGGGCATTTCCCACTTAGAGGTCTTCTCTACTTATTTTATTCAAATAACCCATTATTTGGTAATGAGGAATATCATTTTTTCGATATTTATTCTTCTTAAGTCATAACCCATTATTCCCAATCTATGGATAATGTTAAAGGTACTTTACTTACATTACCTTGTATTGGATAATTGGGCTCATAGCTAGGAAAGTAACCAGCAAACAATCTAGGGGTATTTTGTTTTTTTTTTTTTAATTTTTACTACAAACCACTTTTTTACCTCCAACCATATTGCTACAGAGGGCATTTGATACGGCCAAAAACGTGCCTCGTCGAAATAAAGGTTTTACACCCTAGTTCCCTTTGGACTAAATCCGTTTCAGGACATTTCTAGAGCTGTCCGTTCGTCCGTCTTTCTTTCTGGTGCGCACGATAACTCTCGAAGGGAGTATCCGATTTGATTCAAACTTGGTACATTGTAATATTATTGTCAAACTTACTCGACCTAAGTTCGGAGATGGGCAATACAAGTCCACTCCTTCTTGAACCTCCTCCACCAAAGACCAAAATTTTATCAGAAAATAATTTTCCCTATATAAAACAAGAAAGGATCATCAAATTTTGTTCAAACCTTGCAAATCCCAAAATATGTATTAGTGCTTTGTCAGGTGGGAAAAATGGAGAATAAAGGTGCAAAATTTGGAATAATTAAAAGTCTTATAAAATATGAAATAAGAGTCAAATTGTCTTCAAATAGTACATATTCCAATATTTCCACTAACTTTATTGGTGTGAAAATGGAATATATCGGTTCACTTCTTCTGGTACCTACCGCAAAAAGGTTTAACATTTTGAATAACGATAACTCTCATAACAACCGATTCTTTTCAAATTTTGTTTATCTAAATATTTCTCTCAACCGAAGATCTGATGTGAATAAGAAATTTATCGGCCCACTCCTTCTGGTACCACCCTTACATGGGGTCAACACTTTGAATTTGCAATGTTTATATCAGAATTAGGTGAGATATGAAATGGATAATATTGGCAAACCCTTTCAAGGGTTAAAAGGAAGAATAATTTCAACGCAAGTTAATGTATATGGTAACAAGCAGACATTTACTGAGGGTACACATCTGCCGGCAAAACCGACTGATATTTATACCCTACACCAGAAGGTGGTCAGGGTATTATGTCTTTGTGCATTTGTTTGTAACAGGCAAAAGGAAACGAGATAGACCCATAGTTCCTTTTGATGATCTGCATAGAATCACTTTCTGAGTCCGTCCGTCCGTCCGTCCGTCTGTCCATGTATTCTTGTGAACAAAATGCAGGTCGCATTTATTATACGATTTAGATGAAATTTTGCAAACAACATTTGTTTGGCCCAAGGACGAACCCTATTGAAATTGGAGATAATCGGTAAAAGTTTAGATATAGCTCCCATATATATCTTCGTCCGATTTGCCTTTTATTGTGCACCAAACGTGTAATATCAGCCCGAATAGTATGGAATTTTGCACATACAACCAAATTAGGCCTGAAAATAAGTATGCCAAATGTTATCGAAATCGGTTCAGATATAGCTATAGCTCCCATATATATTGTTCATCCGATTTGTTATTTTTGTCCTCCGCAGCCTTAATATGCACTCTGTAACAACAATATTTGGGGAAATATATCAAATGCAGCTCAGAAATACCTTTGCTAAATTTTATCGAGATCGGTTCAGATTTGGATATAGCTCCCATATATAACTTCGTCCGATTTACCATTTATTGTGCACCAAACGTCTAATATTTGTCCAAATGGGATGGAATTTGGCACATACGACCGAATTTAGTCTAGAAGGTAGTATGCCAAATTTGGTGAAGATGGGTTCAGATATAGTTATAGCTCCCATATATATTGTTCATCCGATTTATTGTATTTGTTACCCACAGCCGTAATATGCACTCCGTAACAACGATATTCGGGGAAATATATCAAATACAGCTCAGAAATATCTTTGCCAAATTTTATCGAGATCGGTTCAGATTTGGATATAGTTCCGATATATATTTTTATCCGATTTCAAATTAATTTTGAACCAAATGGGCAATACAAGTCCGAATTTAAAAGATACAAATGCTTCGGCATATTTAGTCCTTTGAATTTTAAATTATAATTATAATCATAGCGTGTATGATTGAATTCTCCCATAAAAACTTTTAATTATTAAGTGGAGCTCAACTAAATTAGCAAAGTGGTGTAGGGTATCATAAAATCGGCCCAGCCCGACTTTAGGACTTTCTTTACTGGTTTTTAACTTGTTAACAGCACATTTTCTTATGAGTCTCGAACCCATAAGCTTCGGTTTTAAAGTAGGGCACCCCTAGTCTGTGCCGCCGTTACTCATTACTTGGTAATGAGAAAACGAAGTTTTTTTGCTTTGTATTCTTTTTGAAGAAAATCCCATTACTTTTAATCTACTGCCATTACCTTGTAATGGGTTATTAGACCCCTCTAATTTTATCTGGGAAGAGCAGGTCTTTCAGTTATCCCCTCAAAATTCTCCTGACGGCAATATTTCCCCCATTCAACCCTACCAAAATCACTGTGCAATATTCTTGAGAATTTGGTTAACTCTGCGGGGCGAGAGAAATGAAAAGAAGCTACGGTAATCAACACTACAAAGTCGACACATATCAAAAAGTTTGTCATCAACGCGCCATGAGCGGCAAAGCTAAAGGCAACAGCAGCAGCAGCAGCCGCGATAGTATACGATGTTTCGTTTAGAGACCGACCGGTAATCAGTGAAGTGGCCGCGATAAACAGCAGTATGCTAAACTTTTACTTTACGGAAATTTTAAATAAATAAACCAAAAGAAAAAATAAAAACAGACAGACGATAGGTAGAAAATATACTGTGTGTGTGTTTTTTTTTTTTGTTTGTTATTCATATTATTTTAATTGAAAAAATTAAATTAATGTTGTTGTTGTGTAATTGTAAACTAATTTTAATATTTCGAACCACAAACAAAATAACAATAACCAACGACTAATCTCAAATTTTTATTTATTTTTCCATATGATTTTGACATTGTTGTTTTAATTCTACCATTTGTTTGTTATTGTGTTTTGGAAATTTTTACAAAAAACAAACAAATAAACAAAAATCCCAACAAAATTTTTATTCCAAAAATAAATCATGCCATAAAACAACCATAACAATGACAATGTAACCTTGTTGTACTGGTGATCGAAATGAAAAAAAAATGCATTTATTTTGAAACGCTTTGCAAAACCCAAATTGTCAAAATTGGCAACAACAACTAAAAAGATTCTATCAAAAATACAATGAGTTGCGGGCACGCATCAAAGCCAACTCATGTCCCATAATACCGGCTACATTGCAACAACAACAACAACAGCTTCATCAGCAGCAACAGCAACAGCAGCAGGACCAGCACCAACAACAGCAACAAAATAACAATGTTAACAACAATAGCATTAACAATAATCTGAACAATAACATTAACACAAACAATATTGGCCATAACATCGGCGGCAGCAACAGCGGCAGTAGTAGTAGTGGTAGCAACTCCACCACCAACAACATCATCAGCATTGACAGCAGTTGTAACACCTCCAACACCACTACCACCTCAAACACAAAATTTACAACAACAACATCACTATTATCACCAACAACATCACATTCGCCCTCATCATTGCCCGCCTCAGCCTCAACAACAGCAACACACCAACATATAACTCCTTCCTCTGCTACTGCTATTACCGCTGCTACCTCTCCCCTGTATTCTTCCTCGAGTCCCATTTATACCGTGCAAAGATCAGCTTCACTCAAAGATCACAAACAGATATATATCAGGTTTGTTTTGTTTTTTTAGTTTTTCTCTTTCTCTCTCTCCCTTTCCCTCTCCCAATTTTGTTTATTTTGTCTGTCTTTGTGTCTGTTTCCCCCTGGGATCCTTGTATTGTCCTGTTTGTGTATATCTTTTGCGTTTTTAGTAGTAGATTTTCACACCATTTGTAGAAGTATAGCATGGAACTAAGGTAAAATGGGAAACTTGGTTTGGATTGGGTGATGGCATTGAGAGTTTTTAAAGAGTTTCTTTTGTAACATATTTTTGCCCTGTTTCTAAAAGTCAGGGCTTTTTGTATATAGTAGAGTTATTATGGACATAATGGGTACATAGAACCTTTTATAGAAGATCCATTTTATATGTCTTCTCCAAGAGAATGCCCATTAGGCATATTTTATGCATTGAAAAACTTCTACATATAGAAGGTAGGTGCACCCTACAAGGTCTTTACATATTACAAACATAAACATGGCAGACCTACAAGAGGTGTTCTTTAGCTGGAGGATCTTTAAAGAACTTCCGATTAAATATTTTTTTCCAAATAAGAGATCTGTAGATGTTTTACACATAAATGGTTCCATTATGCTAAAGTCCAAACTATACATGATGTTGAAGCCATATGTATAGCCGCTTTTTATACCCTCTATCTTGAAAAGGAGATATATTAACTTTGCCATTCCCTTTGTGACATCCCTAAATATTCGCATACAATTCTAAGTCCACTTAACGATTTTTCTGTTCGTCTGTCTGTTAAAATCACGATACAGCTCAAATAATTTGACGTAGAGCTTCAAAGTTTGGCAGAACAATTTGTATTGTGTCTGGGATAGTTGGAAAAATGTGGCAAAAATCATCAAACCACCGAATATCGGGAGGTACCGTTGTATGGGTGCACGTTTCGGTATAGCCATCATATAAGAGTATCTCCCGATATTCGGCAATTCGGTGATTTTTGTCACATTTTTCAACGAATTTGTCTAAAAATTGGTATTTGTAGTTCGTAACGGGTTCTAGCTCCGGTGGCGGAACAATGTATATATAGGTCACCGTTTTGGTATAGCCCCCATATAAAGGTACCTCCGGGTATTTGGTGTTTTGATGATTTTTGTCACATTTTTTCAGGAATTTTTCTTATAATTGGTATTGCAAGTTCGTAATGGGTTCTAGCTCCGGTGGCGAAACATTGTATGTAGAGATCCAAGTGTTTGTATAGCCACCATATAACGGTACCTCTCGATATTCGTCATTTCGATGATTTTTGTCGCATTTTTCCATGGATTTGTCTAAAAATGGGTTTTTGTAGTTCGTAATGGGTTCTAGCTCCGGCGGCGGAACATTGTATATATAGGTCACCGTTTTGGTATAGCCCCCATATAAGAGTACCTCCCGATATTCGGCAATTCGGCGATTTTTGTCACATTTTTTCAGGAATTTTTCTTATAATTGGTATTTCTAGTTCGTAATGGGTTCTAGCTCCGGTGGCGAAACATTGTATGTAGAGGTCCAAGTTTTTGTATAGCCACCATATAACGGTACCTCTGGATATTCCTAATTTTGATGATTTTTATCACATTTTCCATGGATTTGTCTAAAAATTGGTATTTGTAGTTCATAATGGGTTCTAGGTCCACATTTTTCTATAGCGCACATATAACGAAGTCCACCGATGTTCGGTACTTTGTTAATCCTAGTCACATTTACCCACGAAATTGTTTTAAATTTGGTATTTAGTACGATTTGGTTGGTAGATGACAATCCTTAAAGTATAAAATTGCCATATGGGGCCATATCAAAACGGAAACCTCTATATTCCGTTTTGATATGGCCCCATATAAAGCCCTCACACCCTTTATGGTTTTTTCAAAAGTATGACAGCATTTTCCTCACGGTCTTACTGGTATTTTTAGTATAAAGTGGAAAACGTTTGAATTCAGATAATTTTTATATAATAATGTTTTCTTTACCCAATGATGGAGGGTATTAAAAGTTCGCCCTATCCGAACTTAATGTTTGTTTACTTGTTCTACAATGATTACTTATAAGCAACTTAAAGTCGCTTATAAAAAATGTTTTTTTTTTTTGTTATCTAAAAAGAAACGATTTATAGTATATAAAAAAACAAGAGTATTAAAAGTTATAGTTTATGGTATAGTGTTACTTTTAAGTTTAACATATTTTCGGAGCTCCTCAAAGTATGCTATTAACATGTGAAATAGTCTCGTTACACATAACATCATGTGAAATCGGACTTTAAGTAAACTTTAAGAGGTCTGCTTATGGTCCTTTTATATATGTAGGCATAACATATGGTTCCAGTCAACTTCTATTAATGGTGAAAAAATCTTAGTCTAGATTAGCTCTAGTGATTTGTTGTGATGGTGTGGTATTACATATTTTTGAGTTCTACAGTATTTTTTTTTAAATTTAATTTGAATTTTTAGTGGAAATAAATGTTGTATTGGTTGTGGATTATATCTTTTAAAAACATCCTATTAAACTATTTTATATAAGACGGTATTTTTTCTTCAAAGAAGAACTGTCAAAGATCTTCAATTCTTCAGAATGTTCTATTGAAGACAGAAATTTGCATACTATAAAAGACTTTACAAAGGTCTGACATTTCATGGAAGTGATCTGAAAGGTCTTCTTCTTTGTAGAGTTCCTTTATATTCTGCAGAAGACCCCCTGCTGTCCTCGGGATTACAGAAGACCTGACGAATTTATGTTTTCCCCAAAAGAAGGCCTCTAAAAAGTTTTTTTTTAATAGTCAAAGGGTTTCTACTTTATTTTAATCTATTCTTGTAACTTCTATCTATTCTATTATACTATACTCTACCTTTATCTATTCTACACTAATTTGTACTATTATATTCTATACTACTACTATGTACGTTCCTATACTATTCTATTTTATTCATATGCTATTAGTTCTAAAGTATTATATTCTATGTTATTCTATTGTACTCTATTCATTCTAAACTTTTCCAAAATATTGGCTTCCATGTTGTTATATACTATTCTATTTTATGCTATTCTATATTATACTATCCTAAATTACAATATTCTAAATTATACTATTCGATTTTTTTCTACTATATTCATTCCAAACTATTCTGTACTATTCTATTCCATACTATTCTGTACCATTCTATTACATACTATTCTATACTATACTTTACAATGCTATGTCATTCATTTCTATGCTGTTTCATTCTGCTCTATTCATTCTTATCTATTCCATACTACTATTCAATGCTATTCTTTTTTATTCTACTCTATTCATATTGAACTATTCTATTCAAACTACCCTATACTATTCTATTTTATGATATTCTATTCTATTTTCACTATTATATGGAAGGGGACGTACACTTTGTGTAACTAAAATGGAAGGACAGATTGCATACAATTAACGCCCTCTTAATGTCTTAATGGAGGTTACAATCAGTTTGTCATTCCGTAACACCTCATTTGTAACACCTCGAAATATAAATTTTAGATCTCACAAAGTATATATATTCTTGATTAGCATAAAATTCTATGTCGATTTAGCGATGTCCGTCTATCCATCTGTACGTCTGTGGAAATCACTCTAGTATATATTATTACTCAAATATATATTATGTCTGCAGGACTTTGGTATTGAAAATGGGCCATATAGGTCCACGTTTTGGTACATCCCTATTTTGGTGATTTAAGCGACATTATTCACCGGAAATGTTTCATATTTGGTATTTGAAGTTCGTAATGGATACTACAGCCTATGACCGAAAATTGTCCTTGCAGGTCCGCGCCTTCGTATAGCCCCCATATAAGGGTGTCCCCCAATATTGGGTATTTTGATAATTTCAGCGACATTATTCACCGGAATTGTTTGAAATTTGGTATTTAGCGTTCGTAATGGGAACTACAGGCTATGCCAGAAAATTGTCTTTGCAGGTCCAGGTCTTCGTATAGGCCCCATATAGTATTCGGCCCCCCCCCCCCCCCCTGTATTCGATATTTTGACGATTTTACGGACAATATTAACCGAAATTGTTTGAGATTTCGTATTTTAAGTTCCTAAGTTCCTGTGATAGAAAATTGTCTATGCAGGTCCAGGTCTTCGTATAGCCGCCATATAACGGTACCTCTCTATATTCGGTATTTTGACGATTTTATCTACATTATTCACCGGAATTGTTTCAAATTTGGTATTTGAAGTTCGTAATGGATACTACAGCCTAAGACAGAAAATTGTATGTGCAGGTCCATGTCTTCGTATAGCCCCCTCATATAATGGTACCTCCCTATATTCGGTATTTTGATGATTTTTGCTACATTATTCACCAATTTTTTTTTTATTCAAGTTTCGCATTTGAATATGTAATGGCTTATGACAAAAGTTGCCTACACAGGTTCACGTCATCGTATAGACCATTATACAATGGCTACATTCGGTATTTTTAAGATTTTAACGGAGTTTTTAACGGATTTTATTCTTTTGAAAATTGTCAAATTAGTTCCAAATGGTGGAGGGTATTCTTAGCTCGGCCCGACCGAACTTACAGCTTCTTTATTCGTTTTCTAACGACTTGTTCCATATCCGTTTATTGTGTACTGGTGTTTTGAAAGTCCTGGCCACATTTTCTGCCAAAGTGGCTTTAATTTCATAATTTTCAAAACTCTTAATGCACATTATTACAAAAAATATTAAATGTAGGCTCTGGTTTATCTGTAGAGGACTTTGGGATCTTCTATTGGCTAAAGAAGACCTGAATGTATTCTAATGACTATGGAAAGCCTGAAGGTCCTCTATTGGCTATAGAGGACCTGAAGGTCTTCTATTGGCCATAAAGGACCCGAAGGTTTTCTATTGGCTATAGAGGACCTGAAGGTCTTCTATTGGCCATAGAGGACCAGAAGCTTTTCTATTGGCTATAGAGGACCTAAAGGTCTTCTGTTGGCTATAGAGGATCTGAAGGTCGTCTATTGGCTATAGAGAACCTGAAGGTCTTCTATTGGCTATAGAGGACCAGAAGGTCTTTTATTGGCTATAGAGGACCAGAATGTCTGTTATTGTCTATAGAGGACCTGAAGGTCTTCTATATAGGTCCTGAAGGTCTTTTATTGGCTTTATTTCATAATTTTCAAAACTCTTAATGCACATTATTACACAAATTATTAAATATATGTTCTTGTTTTGTTTTTTTTTCCAAAAAAAATCTGTCAAAAATTAGATAGATTGTATCCTATCTAGATAGGGTGTAGGTTGTCGTTTTATCAAATCCACCCAACTTTGGTTTTATTTCTCACTACCTTGGTAAACTTGTTGTATCTTTGTATCTTTGGTGTTGGTAGATATAGTTTTTTATACTCAATATTACATAGATTCAAATTCATTGTCTCATCACAGTACTCTATTTGCTTTTTACTTGAATACACTAACTAACCTTTTTATTTGTAACTAACATTACTAAAACAAAACAACAAATTTTTGTAAATAAAAATATATAGTGCTGTTAGCTGTTATAGTTGTAAATGTGTATAGTAAATAAAATTAATTTTTTGTTCAAAATCTAATAACAAATTCATATTTTCTTTGTTTTTACTCTAGGAAATCACCACCAGTTAGTCCTGCGGTATCCACAACTCCCGCTTATACCACCAACACCACAAATACAACAGCATCGCCGGCTGCTGTGGCCACGCCCATCAGGAGGTATGTACAAAGCAAAACTATGGTGGCCAACTAGAATTAATTGAAATATTCCCACTTTTGGTTTATTGGTTTACCGAAGTTCTCAATCTGCACTTGGTTTTTTTTTCTTTTTATTTGATAAATTATTTTTTATAATTATTTTTCTTTATATATATATTAAATTGAAGCACCTCCTGTTTTATTACATTTTTAGTACTACACAAACCCAACCAACGAAAGTGGTTCAAAATTCCTCTCAAACTAAGGATAAGAATACAATTCAAAGCACAACCACCACTACCAATAATAATAACAATAACAATAATATGAATAATAACAACAATAAATCATCTCCTGACTCCAACAACAAAGCAAATCAAAATAACACCGCCACCACAACAACCACTACCAATAACAATGGTTCCACTGCTGAAGCAGTTAAACCCAAACAATCGACTGGAAATATGATTAAGAATTTCTTCAAGTAATTAAAGGGGAAAGCCCCCACCCACCCCGCTCTGTTGTTCTTCTAATGCTGTTGTTATCTAATGAAAATAACCATTGTTGTTTTTTTTTGTTTTCCAAAAATATTCTTTGTTGTTGTCTGTTTGGCCCTAACCTAAAAGCTATATTTAACAATAACGTCCTGCCGGACATTTGCAAATAATGTGCCCCAAATTTAACCCAAGCCGCCATATGTGCTATAACATCCTCTGCTTTTTTACATTTAAATTTTTTTCGAAGATAAAACGTGTCCGAATTATTTGTATTGTAACATATGTTTCCAACTTTTGACAAATTATGCCCACGTAGTTTCTTCAGTAAGTGTGATTTTTTTATAGAAAGAAAGTTTTAAGGGCCAATAGAAAAACTCTTGGAGTTTATCATTCATCATTCATATCAAAATCGATTTTTAAAAGAAAATTGTATGCGAGTTGTTTTTTATGACCTTATAAAGGTCCTTCAGAAGGCCTCTGCAGACAGATCTGTATTCTGGCTAAACTGAAGTTCTTTTATTAGCTATAGAGGATCTGAGGCCGATAGAAGGCCATGGATGACCTGAAGGTCGCCTATGGGCAATAGAAAATTTGAAGGTCGTCTGTCGGCTATAGAAGACCTGAAGGTCGCCTATCGGCAATACAAAACTTGAAGGACGTCTGTCGGCTATAGAAGACCTGAAGATCGTATGTCGGCTATTGAAGACCTGAGGGTCGCCTGTTCGCTATAGAAGACCTGAAGGACCTTGACCTGGAGGTCTTCTTTCGGCTGTAGTAGACCTAGAGGGCTCCTTTCGGGTATAAGAAACCTAGAGATTTTCTATCGGCTATTTAAACCCTAAAGGTCTACTATTGGCTATATGAGACAAGGAAGTCTTCTAGCGATCTTCTATTGGCTATAGAAGACCTGAATGTCTTCTATTGACTATAGAGAGCCTGATGGTCCTCTATTGGCTATAGAGGACCTGAAGGTCTTCTATTGGCTATAGAGGGCCTGAAGGTTTTCTATTGGCTATAGAGGACCTGAAGGTCTTCTATTGGCCATAGAGGACCTGAAGGTCTTCTATTGTCTATAGAGGAGCTGAAGGTCTTATATTGCCTATAGAGGAGCTGAAGGTCTTATATTGCCTATAGAGGACCTGAAGGTCTTCTATAGCCTATGGAGGACCTGAAGGTCTTTTATTGTCTGTAGAGGACCTGAAGGTCTTCTATTGTCTATATAGGACCTGAAGGTCTTTTATTGTCTATAGCGGACCTAAAGGTCTCCTATTATCTGCAGAGGACCTGAAGGTCTTCTATTGTCTAAAGAGGACCTGAAGGTTTTTTACTGACCATAGAAGACCTGAAGGTTTTTTATTGGCTGTAGAGGACCTCAAAGTCTTCTGTTGTCTGTAGGGAACCTGAAGGTCTTCCATTTGCTATAGAGGACCTGAAGGTCTTCTATTGGCTATAGAGGACCTGAAGATCTTCTATTGGCTATAGAGGACCTGAAGATCTTCTATTGGCTATAGAGGACCTGAAGGTCTACTATTTGCTAAGGTCTTCTATTGTCTATGGAGGAATGGAAGACTTCTATTGGCTATAGGGACCTGGAGGCCTTCTTTCGGCTATATGAGACGTTGAAGTTTTCTTTTGACTATAGAGGACTTGAAGGTCTTCTATGGTTTATAGAGGGCCTGAATGACTTCTATTGACTTTGGAGGATCTGAAGGTCTTCTACTGGTTATAGAGCATTTGACAGTCTTCAATTGGATAAAGAGGACCTAGACGTCCGTTCTCCCGGCCATAGAAAACCTGTATGATGTTTTACGGTCAAAGAAGTCTCTTGCCTCTAAAGTCTTTTAGAAGGTATTTTTGCTGTTGAAGCCCCTGTGGAACTCTACTGATTTAAGATGATAATAGGGCCATCATAGCGTTGCAGAAGATATTAAGATCTCCCAGCAATGGCAAGATTTTCTGAATACCTGTAAAAGGTTTTTAAGTCATAGAGGGGCTCCGAAAGGACTTCTGCTATACAAAGACTATATAAGATGTTTTAGCTAAAGACTTCTTTTGAAAAAGCACTCGAGTCTTGAGACGACATTTAAAAGGATTTATGGTCTTCCAAGAGGATCTTTGGAAGATTCGATGGATTCGAAGTTCTCCTTATAACGGCTTTATTCCGCTTTCAGTCCAAAAATTACACTGCTATAACCCACCGGCGTTGTATTTAATTTTCTTGTGATTTGATTTTTAAATAAAGACTTGCATGTTTTTTTTTTTTTTCATTCACTTCAAGTGTGACGTGACTAATTTTGTCCGTTTAAAACATATTTGAATTATATTAATATTTTTTTTATTTATTTATTGAAATCCCCTCAGGTCCTTTGTGCCACCAGTGCGTGACGAGGAAAGTGAGACACAACGTAAGGCTCATGCCAAGCGGGTGCGTGAGACAAGACGTTCAACCCAGGGTGTGACCTTGGATGAAATCAAGAGTGCTGAAGAATTGGTGAAAAAGAAGAACTCCAGTATGAATAACAATAACAACAATAACAGCAGCAGTGTAAGTCCCTCTAATAAATGTTCAAATATCTTTTATTGTATATATACATATATATATATATATATATATATATATATATATATATATATATATATATATATATATATATATATATATATATATATATATATATATATATATATATATATATATATATATATATTTATAACACATCGACATTAAAAAACTAAAATCGAAAACATTGCATTCATTCATTCAAAATACCACCAAATCATCCAACTCGAATCAGTGTCCTTTCTCCATTGTTTGTAATTGGAAACAAACCCCAACACACTCTTTCCTGAGATTTGTTTCAAAATTGTCCCTTGTCCCCACGTGTCGTACCCCATTCCACCATCCAACACACACATAATTATTTTTTAACAAAATAAGCAAACTAATGTGGATTGCACTTTGAATTTAAAATAACTCAACATTAAATCGCCCATTCCAAACATGTCCTCCATTTACCCCTCATTTCGAACATAGATTCGAAAAAACACAAGAAAATCATTCGTATTCACAATGCTTTTGGAAGCGGTATAATTATTTCCTAAAGAAAAGAGTTATTGTTGAATTAAATAATCTTTGTTTTTATTTAATTTATTTTGTATTTGTAAATTTATAAGTTTTAAGACACCCACAATTCCCCTATAAATATAATTCACACCCCCCTTCTTCCTTAGTTGGTAGAATGAATGAATGGTTATGGGGTTTTGTAACACCCACCTGTTTACCTTAATGCGTTACAAGGTTCTTTTTATAAATATACAGAGATCACAACAGCACGTGTAACAAATCCACCACAAAAACAAATATTCACCTTCACCACCACCATTACCATTAATAGGTATTACAAATTATATCCACCCCCTCCTCTAGAAATGGTTTTGGTTATGCTGTGATGGTTACATTATTTTAAAATCCTACCAAGTTCCATCTAGTTCCACCATAACCACCACTCATACTTAGCCTTTATTAGCAGTCTGCTGACGTTAAGAAAACCGGAAATATCTTCGATGAAATTAATTTGCGGATAGATGTTTATCAGTTGACAAGATAAAGTAGAATCGAGTTTTCGAGATATTGGTTCAAAGGTCATTTTGTAAACAGTTTTGCAAGATCTTCTAGAAGGCCTTTGGTAGGGTTTCTGGAAGGCCTTCGATTAGTTTTAGCTGACCTGAAGGACCTATTTTGCATATAGAGGACCTAGAGGCTTTTTTTAAGTCATCTTTTGGCTATAGAAGAGCCAAAAATCTTCTATTGGCTATTAAAGAGCTGAAAGTCTTCTATTGGCTATTGATAAGCTGAAGGTCTTCTATTGGACATAGAGGACCTGAAAGTGTTCTATTGGACATAGAGGACTTGAAGATCTATCGAACATCGTATATCGGATATAGAAAACCTGAAGATCATCTATCTGCTTTAGAAGACCTGAAAGTCTTCTATTTGCTATAGAGGAACTGAAGGTCTTTTATTGGCTATGGAGAAGACGAAGGTATTCTATTGAATATATAGGATCTGAAGGTCTTCTATTGGCTATAAAGAACCTGAATGTCTTTTATTGGCTATAGAGGAGCTGATGGTCTTCTATTGGGTACTGAGGACCTGAAGGTCTCCTATTGGCTGTTGATGACCTGAAGGTCTTCTATAGGTCATAGAAGAAATGGAGGTCTCCTATTGGCCATAGAGGACCTGAAGGTCTTCTATAGCCCATAGAAGACCTGAAGGTCTTCTATAGCCCATAGAGGACCTGAAGGTCTTCTATAGGCCATAGAGGACCTGAAGGTCTTCTATAGGCCATAGAGGACCTGAAGGTCTTCTATAGGCCATAGAGGACCTGAAGGTCTTCTATAGGCCATAGAGGACCTGAAGGTCTTCTATAGGTCATAGAGGACCTGAAGGTCTTCTATAGGTCATAGAGGACCTGAAGGTCTTCTATAGGTCGTAGAGGACCTGAAGGTCTTCTATAGGTCGTAGAGGACCTGAAGGTCTTCTATAGGTCGTAGAGGACCTGAAGGTCTTCTATAGGTCATAGAAGAACATAGAAGGTCTTCTATTAGCCATAGAGGATCTGAAGGTCTTTTATTGGCTATAGAGAATCTGAAGGACCTGACTGTTCTCTTTTGGCTATAGAGGACCTCAGGGTCTTCTGTTGGCCCTAGAAGACCTGAAGGTCGTCTATCTGCTATAGAAGATCTGAAGGTCGTCTAACGGCTTTAGAAGATCTTTAGCTCGCCCATCGTCTATAGAAGACCTTTAGGTCGTCCATCGTCTATAGAAGACGTTCAGGTCTACTATCGTCTATAGAAATGATAGACTTATAGAAGACCGGGTTGTCTATCGGCTATAGAAGACCTAAAGGTCGTATATGGGATATAAAATACTTATAATATTTAGATATCTTCTATAATACCTTTAGAAGTTCTTCTATAAGACCCTTCAAAAGTCTTCTTAAATCCATTGTATAAGACCTTTACAAGGGCTTCTATAAGACCTTTAGAAGTCTTAATCTTCTGTAAGTCCTTTGGAAGGTCTTTTTTATCCCTTCGAAAAGTTTTTCATTTTAGACCTTTCAAATGTCATCTTTCAGAGTTCAAAAAATCTTCTATTAGACATTTAAGGAGCCCATATCTCGTAAACTTTTAAGCTATAAGTTTCATAGCAAAATAATTTACTACTTCTTCGAAGATATTCACGGTCTCCTTTCCGCCACAATAGCCTTAAAAATTAGGGACCGACCCCCTCCCCCCACCATCATCTACATATTATTCAAAAGATCGATCGAAAACCGAAAAAAATAGTTGTATATGAAATCTTCATACCAACAACAAGAATGATTTCAAATTTCATTGCTGCCTGTAAAATAAGCGCAATTGATTGGCCTGAAAATGCTCCACGTCGCGCGTTTCTTTTTGTTATTGTTGTTTTATTTTCTTCTTATAATTTCATTATTTTCCAAACAAATACCAACAATAGATTGTGCTCCTCTCTTTGCGCTCCTCCTATTGTCTATCTTTCAACGTCGCTGTTTATAAAGCTCTAGCTACCTGAACGACATCTAGTGTTGGTATTGATTGAAATTATTTTCATTTTTCAACTTCTAATAGAAAAGTTGAAAATTCTTAGATTAGGTCTTTACCATTAAGTCTGTGATTACTTGTTTTTAGGATTATTGATTGAATTTCTATTTTTTTAGATTAGATTGTGTATTTCTTTTATCGAAGTATTGTCGTATCTTTATATTTCGATGCATGATTTATTGTTATTGTATAATTATTTTTATTATTATTATTATTTAGTATCGATATTACTGTATTTAGTCATGTTTTATTGTTGTGCATGATTGTTATAGTGTATCTTCCGTCTATTTATTTTTTTTAATTGTGACTTCATACTATTTACCTTTACAATGTTTCGTCGAGTTTCGTGCATACGTTAAATTCGCTAGTTTCCCCAACAAAGTTTCGAAAGATGATATCATGAGCAAATTATTATTAAATTGTTATAAACTTTAATACCAATGGCATAAACGATTGAACAAATTTTAAGAAAATCAGTTTTAGAATATTACCAAATTTGATCCAATATTCTGTAAATTAAAAGCTTTTTTTTCACTCAAAGTTCAAAACTTTAAAATATATTCCAATAATCTAGAAATAGTGGTAAAAACGTGTTAGAATATGTAGTAGTTCACCGACCTCTATATGTGATTTTTTGAGTGAATCAAAAAAGTGACCGCATGATGTCAGATTGCAAAATTATTGGAGGTTGAAACAACCAATATTTTCGAATGGTTTCAAATCCAGAACTATGTCGAACTAATTGATCAGTGTATTAGATTTTAAAAATAACAATAGCTTTAAAAGGTCTTCTGAAAACTTCTTTTTTTTTTTGGTTTTTACTTAAACAAGTTAAAAAGCAATAAGTTCGGCCGGGCCGAACTTTGAATACCCTCCACCATTTGGAACGAATTTAGAAATTTTCAAAAATTAAAATCCTTAAAAAATTCTGTTAAAATTTCAAAAATACAGAATATAGCCGTAATATTAGGGTCTATACGACGTGGACCTACATAGGCATTGTTTGTCATAAACCATTACCATATTCAAATTCGAAACTTGAAATAAACGGTGAATAACGTAGCTGAAATCATCAAAATATCGTATATAGGGAGGTACCGTCATATCGGAGCTGTGCAAAGACCTGGACCAGCATAGACAATTTTCTGTCACAGGCTATAGGATCCATTACGAACGTCAAATATGACATTTCAAACAATTTCGGTGGGTATTGTAAGTAAACTCGTCGAAATACCGAATATAGGGAGGTACTGATATATGGGGCCTATACGAAGACCTGGACCTGCGTAGACAATTTTCTGTCACAGACTATAGTTCCCATTACGAACTCTAAATACCTAATTTGAAACAATTCCGGTGAATAATGACGCTAAAATCATCAAAATACCGAATATCGGAAGGTACGTGGGCCTGCACAGACAATTTTCTGTCATAGGCTGTAGTATCCATTACGAATCTTAGATATCAAATTTTAAACAATTCCGGTGAATAATGCCGCTAAAATCATCAATATACCGAATATCGGGAGGTACCGTTATATGGGGGCTATATGTAAACGTGGAACTACATGCCCCATTTACAAACTTAACCTGCCTACTTATCTCTTATCTCTCAATTTTTTCGAAAAATAGCGTGATTACAACAGACAGACGGACAGGCAGACATACAGACGGACATCGCTAAATCGACTTAGAATTTTACGCTGATCAAGAATATATATACTTTGTTAGGACTGACATGAGTATTTCGAGGAGTTACAAACGGTGGAGGATATAAAAAATTTAAATCGATTTCTCAGCAATTTAATTTGTACCATAGAGTAAAGATAAACTGATCTTGCAACTTGAAGAGCTAGAAGGTAGTTGGCTCATTACCTTGCTCGCCTTGTTGTCAATCTTTTTCTAGTGAAGGGATTGGGCGCTCCTTATAGTAATTCAAGGAGTATGGACATTCCTTGCGACTTGCGTTAAAAAAATTTCCAAAAACCCTGCCATCGCAGCGTTGATATCTTATTACTTCGTCTAAACTTTTATAATATTTCAGCAACTACATTTTATTTCTTCAAATACTAAAGATGGTATATATTTTTTCATATATCTCGTCGATATAATGGCTTTAAACTGAATCAAAAAAACAGAACGTAAAAATTTAAATTTAAAAATATAGTATAACAAGTAAAAAAACATTAGGTTCGGCCGGACCAAACTTTTAATACCCCCCACCTTTGGGTAAAGAAAATATTTTCATATAAAATTATCTGAATTCAAGCGTTTTCCACTTTAAACTTCATATACCAACATGATAGTTTGAATAAACTTATCAAAAAACCATTAAGTGAGTGGGGCCGTTAAATGGGGGCCATACCAAAACGGGAACCTCTATAGGCAATTTTATACTTCAAGGATTGTCATCTACCAAATCTTCTAAAATACCAAATTTGAAACAATTTCGATGGTAAATGTGACTCGGATTGCCAAAATACCGAATATCGGTTGGTATCGTTGTATATGCGCTATCGGAAAACGTGGACCTAAATATTCAATAATCTGCCACAGGAGTTAGAACCCATAATGACCTACAAATACCAATTTTTAGGCAAATCCGTGGGAATATGTGACAAAAATCATCAAAATACCAAATATGGGGAGGTACCGTTTTTTGGGGCCATACGAAAACGTGAACCTACACATACGATGTTTTGGCACCGGAAAACGAAACCAATATCTGCCACTGGAGCTAGAACCCTACTAGACCTACAAATACCAATTTTTAGACAAATTGCTAGAAAAATATGGCTAAATTCATTAAAATACCGAATATCGGGAGCTACCATTATATGGGGACTATCTCAAAACGTGGACCGATATATCTCATTTTCAATAGCAACCATCCTAAACACAATAAAAACTACTGTGCCAAAGTTAAAAGCCCTACGTCAAATAATGTGGGCTGTATCGTGATTTCAATAATCAGACGAACTAAAAACATCAAAATATCGAATATAGGGAGGTACTATTATATGGGACTATACTAAAACGTGGACCTGCACAGACAATTTTCTGTCATAGGCTGTAGTATCCAAACTTGAAAAACCAAATATAAAACATTTCCGAGAATAATGTCGTTAAAATCACCAAAATACCGAAAATTGAAAGATAGCATTATTTAAGGGCTATACCAAAACGTGGACCTACATGGCCCATTTTCAATACTAAAAGTCCTGCAGACAAAATGTTCGATACGATTTTGGGGGGATATAAAAATGGAGGTATAGATGGCGCCATATATATAGAAGGGTCCGATTTCGGAAACTTTGCAAATTCGATGTCTTTTGATTTGACGATTGTTGAGAATATAAAGCCAAGTTTTGTTGTTGAGAATATAAAGCCAAGATTTAAAGCCAAGTTATTGCTTCCAATTCGATATCTGAAAAGACTGAAGTTCGATTTTGAAGTTTGAAGTTCGAAAAATTCGATTTTCTACTTTTGGCATTAGAACCAAATTGCATGTTCATCTTATGTGGAAATTTAAAGAGTGCGCTTTTGCCAGTCAGATTTGGAGTCTCGCTAGAAATGAAGGATAATACATACTTTGAGCTATAGATGGAGCAAAAATACCACACAAATCACACATATAGCAATAAAAAGTGGCTGTCCGGTTTTGAATTTTGTTCGTAATAAAGCAAACCATATGAATTGACATGTAGATGGCGCCCCAACCTAAAGTCAATTTAATAAAATTTTCTTATCTCAGGTAACTCTAACTATAAAAACTAAGATTTAGTCGAAATTATACATATTTAGAAATATTCAAAGCATTCGGGTATTAGAAAAAAAAAAATTGTGGTATATCTCCAACTGTCTGTAGATTTGGGAATGTTGTATAAAAAATGTATAGATGACGTCCAACACTACAAAAATTTCAATGGCAGAAAACAAACTTAGTTAACACATCGAATAATTTAGAAATACCACTGAATACATAAACAGGTGGCGCCCAATAGCACATAAGCTTCAGCTTCAGCCTTTATTTTTTCCAGAGCAACAATAATCTGAATTGAGAACAAATGTTCGAAACCAGATGGCTGTTTGAATAGAAGATGTGCTAGCTCATCCAAGTATACAAATGTCTATGAAAAACCGCCAAGCGTAATATTATACTGAAATATAGATGGCGTTTTTTGCTATATAACATAGGTTCTCTCCATTTTAGCATAAACAATTTTATTTTAAATTTTTTTTAGACCAAAATTTTTTATTCAGCGACACTACTTTACTAGCCATCTTTATGTCATTTTTGATTTTTTTATCACCTAAAACTATGCATATATGAAGAAACAAACCCGCCCGCCGCAACACACCGTAATATAGATGGCGTTTGCATATTATCCATCGCAAGTTTAACAATTATTTGTTAGGGCAACTAAAAGTGACATCTACATATAAAAAAATTAAGCTTCCAGGGTAGGCATTTTTAGTTGGCTCGACAAAACATTGTAAGGTAAATTTCAAATATATTCAGATGACCAAATTCAAAAAAAAAAGAGAACTGCCAATAAATCCCATAGGCAGAACTTCGAACCCCCATTTCAATGCTTCATTGTTACACGTTTTAGATGATTTTCTAGTTCCAACTTCTTTTCAAAAAGAGGACTAGAAAGTTATTTTTTTTTTTAATTTCCACAACAATGATTTTTCTTTATGTTATCACAACTACAAAACCAACAACAAAAAAAAACACCAATTAAATAAAACAACTAAATTAACAGAATGAATTGCAAGGGAATGTTGGAAAAACCAACGAAGCAACCACAACAACAATGACGACGGTAATGACAAATACGCCTGTCGTAACAGCAACAATTCCAGCAGCAACAACAACATCTACACCCGATTCCAAGCCAAGTGTTGAGCCAACAAAGGATAACAAGCCTCAAACTGTTGAAGATGATGAAGATGTGACAACAGCCTCGTTTACAATTAAAGCTCCCTCAGCTGGCAATCGTTCGAGGCCCTCATCGTTAATAGTGACCGCCAAGACTTCCACAACAGCAGCCAATGAGGTGGATCAATTGCTGGAGAATATTACGGCAAATGCAGCGGATGCAGAAGAGGAAGTAAGTGCCACCTTTGTAATGCCGCCAAGAAAAGATTCTCGTACCCCCACACCGACCTCAAGAAGTCAGGCGTCCATGGAAGCGGAGGAGGTTGAAACTACCATAGTGATAGCTTCACCACGCAGAAATGTGGTAGAGAAAGCCATAACCGATGATGAAAAGGATAAACAGAGAGAAGAACAGCAGGAGGCGGCTAGCGTTGGAGATGGACCCAATAAGATTGCGGAGGATACCACAAATGAAAGTGATAAGGAAGAAGAGGAAGCGGGAACGGCTGAAGAAGATGAGGAGGAGGATGAGGATGAAAAGGAGGAAGACGAAGTGGAAGAAACAGAAAGTAGTGATAACACGGAAAATACCACAGCCGATGACAGTGGCGGTAACAATGAAATCGAAGACGGCACTGCAGCGCATAAAAAGACTGAACCTCCTCCCTCATTGCAGGGTAATAAACCTGCCGTTAGCCCACAACCCATAAGGGTGCAATCTCCTCCCAGCAGTCAGAGAGCCCAGTCAAGTGAACGCATACGAGCTGCCTTCTTTAGTCCCCTACCCCTGACTAGTGTCCCCACGGCAGCAACCACCACCACGACCACGATTACCACACCCACATTGGAGAGCCCTGTACGCTTGCGGGACAAGCGTTCCATATTCGATATGGATAATGCCAACTCACAGACCCTGGCCGATAGATTACGGCTCGAGGCAAATCGTTATGGGTTTGATGAGAAACGTGGCTTTTATAGTGATACTGGCAGTTCGCTACCGCCACCACAAATGTCACATGAAAATAGCTCCGAACGTGACATTAGCATGTCACCATTGTTTGGTAATTTGGGTCATAGTTCCAATGCAGGCGGCACAGCCACAGCCGGTAGTGGCTACAGCTACAATAGCCGTCGTAGTTTAGATTCTTCCTCCTCAGCTTCTCTGCCCAACTCCCCATTCCATACGAGGGATCGGGAAACTGGGGGTAGTGAAAATCATGCCCACAATGCGGGCTCAACAACTTCGGGTACAAATGCTGATCGTAGACCTTCGTGGCGTTTGAAATTTGATGCTGGTTCTAAGGTATGCATAAGGATAACACACACACATAAAATAAATACCAACACTTACACAAAAACTTAAAAAGACACCCATCCCAAATCCCCCCCCCAAAAAAAAAAAACAAACCAAAATTAGTAAAAATCTTTGCCTTAACAAAACCAACGAAAAAAATGTTTAAATAAAAACTTTTTTTTTTTTTAATAATTTTATGTCAATGTTAGTGTGTGCGTATGCGTATAAATGTTGTCTTCTTTTTTAGTTTTATAAGTAAAAATTTACATTTATTTTTAATTACACTATGCAACAGATATTCTTCCCAGTGCTATGAATATTTTCTGGTGTGAAATGAAATGAAGAAGACTCGTTGGTCTTCTACTCTTCAAGAGAAGAAGACCTGTTGGTCTTCTACTCTTCAAGAGAAGAAGACCTGTTGGTCTTCTACTCTTCAAGAGAAGAAGACCTGTTGGTCTTCTATTCTTCCAGAGAAGAAGACCTGTTGGTCTTCTACTCTTCTAGAGAAGAAGACCTGTTGGTCTTCTATTCTTTTGGAGAAGAAAAAGAATACTAGATCTCCCTTGTTTTTTCGGTTATTATTTTCGTTTTCATTATGGCGCCCAATTACACACCGGTAAAACTACCACTCATAATTCTTAGTTCGCCTATTTTTTATTTTTCAATATGTTGCATAGTGTAATTGAATATTTCGATTTTGTAGGTTGTTTTCTTTTTGCTCTTAATTCGTTTTTTTTTGGCAGGCCTTTGTAAAGCAGCCAAGCTTACCATTGCTCTGACATTAGCCTCAATTGTTTTTTTTCTTAATCACCGACGCCCACGGCACTTACATTCTATTCGAAACAAATTCTTTACATTTACATGTCTATTTAATACCGTTTTATTTATCATTTTCTGTTTTCAATCTGTTTCCTCAGCTATTGCTAACCTGCCACCTGTTTCTTTTTCAATGTTTTATGTACTGTCTGTCTGCTATTGCTCCTTATAGCTGCTGCTTTCTTTGTTCTAATTTTTTATGTCTGTTGTAAACGCAGATCATTTGCCATTCAAATCTCACTGTCTCATCTAAATGTTGCATTATTTCAATAATTTAAGGATATTTGAAAAAAGAAACTGTGATATTTTTTAGTTTGTAGTTATTTTTTTTATTATTTTAGTAGTAATTTATTAGAATTTATTTTGAACAATGGTAATCTATTTGATTTTTATTGTCTTTTTTAATTAAAAAAAATCGTTATTTAGAGCTTTTGATATCTTATGGAGCTTTTATTCTTTTAAAGTCACTAAAATTGTTATTTTTGGCCTTTTGTTCTAAACAACATTTTAAAATTTTTTATTGAAACAGATATTTTGCCAACATATGTGCCAAAGAAGTGTTAGGATATAATTGAGAAAGAAATAAGGAAAATGCTTCAGATCCGGCATTGATTTTTCATAAAAAACTGAATAATTTTTTGTGGACCCAGCTCCCTCCGAAATAACTACTACTCTCAATTTGTGAACCCCTGAAATGGTTTCAAAAGGCATTTCAGTGTAGGATCCTGAGCCATATACTCATTTTTGTAGAAAGTCTAATGGCCTTCTGTAGAAGGCAACATACCCATGGTGAAGATCGTCTTCTATAAAGACTACATAAATGAGTTTTCGGTAGAATACAAAAATAAGTTTTCATCGATAATTTTTAATTAATCGATAACACACCCTTAAAATGTCCTTCGCCAAAGTCAAAGTTGTATTTTACCCAATTTTCAAAGTAGTAGTTTGTTTCGATTGTAACCTAAATATTCTTTATCTTCCACTATAAAATGCATTCTTAGACAGAAAAATTAAAATGTTTTCTTCAAAGAAAGGTAAAAAGACTGTTTTCATTGATAAATACCAAAACGTTTTGGTTTCCGATAGAAAAATTGAGGTGTTCTTGAAATAATCAGCAGAACACATTCTTTTTTGATAGAGAAAGAAAATCTCAATTTTTTCGTTCCTGCAAATAGAAAATATATACTTTACGACAGAGAACTGGTAAGTCTAAAAATATTGGACGCACCTTTGCTGACAGGATATCACAAGGGTCTATTTTCGTCTTTTCCAAATTGGTATCAGATAAGGCAAGATGTAAGATCGTCTGATGACAAAGTTTTTCATTGGATAACGATTTTTTGAGGATAATGACCAAAAAATGGTTGTATGCCATCGAAAATCAAAAGTCTTCGGCGGAAGACTGAAATGCTTCAAAACAAATGATTTCGTTGGAAAAAAATTCAAAATATTTACTATTTGATTGAATAGCCGTTAGCCTTAAGCCTCATCTCCATAGACAACCTCAAAGTCTTTCGATATGTGAGAGTTACCAGTTAAGACAAGAGACCATATTCTTTGAAAGATAACCCAAAAAGAGATCGTCTGCTTAGGAAACACGAAAGATTTACAAAGTTTTTCATTGGATACACATTTTTTCTTTTTTGAAAAATGTGATCCTGAAAATGTCCAAAAATGGTTTGTATGTCATAGAAAAGACTATAATAGAAGGATGTAATCATTCCTTCCAAAGAAGATCAAAATAAAGCTTTCCAGACAAAAAAAAACCTAAAGATTTTCTTTTTGACCGAATAAACATATGGGCGAATTTTGATCTTTGAGACAAGGTCAGCTTCTCCTTAATTAGGAAAATTAAAGTGTCTTTTTTTCTTCTTCGCTAATAAGAAAGCAAACAACTATCTTCCCATGAAGCCTATTTTAAGCTCTTCTTACACTTTGCTGAAAGATCCAAGGTGTCCTCCTATATAGCACATTAAAGGTTCTTGTTCTTCGATAGAAGATAGAAATAGTGCCTTCAGAATAAATGTGTATATGAAAAGGAGCGTAGTTTTCTATATCAATTGAAGATTGAAAGGTAGTATTTTGAAAAGGATGTCGAACGTAAGAAAATTAGCAGGTTCTAGACTATGATAAAATACCTAAATATTTTCCTTTTCGTCGTTATAATTTAAAAAATATTCGAATCGATTCGAATATCTTCAAATAAATCTCATTCTCTTCTCTTCATCAAAAGAACACTTTTTTCTATATAGAGCAATACAATTCTCTACTTTATTAGAATTTCAAATAACATTCTTCATTGATAGAAGGGTAAAAATACCCTTTATACAAATAAATACAAAGAATATATTACCAGAATCTTTGGGCGGAAATCGAAAGACCTTCATCTTCAATGTAAACCCAAAGGGTTTCTTTGCTAGAATAAAAAATAAGACAGAACTTTAAAGGTCTGCTATTTTGTTTTTTATAACATACCTAAGGAGGCTGTTTTTTGATATAAAACCGGAAAAATTCTCTTTTTAGTAGATGTTCCAGAATACCTGTTTTACCAAAGATATCAGACATTATTCCAAAATTACAGACAATATACCTTAAATGAACAACCTGAAAACCGTCTTTAAAGACGACCTCTGATTATCTCTATAGATGACCCGAAAATCTTTTCTAAAGGTGATCTGAAGGGCGTCTCTATAGACGACCTGAAAATCGTCTCTATAGACGACTTGAAAATCGTCTCTATAGGGTCGTCAACCTGAAAGTCGTCTCTATAGACGATCTGAAAGTCATATCTAAAGACGACCTTAGTTGTCTCTATAAACGATCGGAAAGTAAACCTGAAAGCCGTAACTATAGACGATCTGAAAGTCTTCCCTTTAGACGACATGAAAGTCGTCTCTATAGACGATGTGAAAGTCTTTCCTTTGGACGAGCTGAAAGTCGTCTCTACAGACGACCTGAAAATCGTCTCTAAAGACGACCTTAGTCGTCTCTATAGACGATCGGAAAGTCAACCTGAAAGCCGTATCTATAGACGATCTGAAAGTCTTCCCTTTAGACGACCTGAAAGTCGTCTCTACAGATAATCTGAAAGTCATCTCTAAAGACGATCTGAAAATCGTCTCTTAAGACGACCTTAGTTGTCTCTAGACGATCGGAAAGTCAACATGAAAGCCGTATCTATAGACGATCTGAAAGTCTTCCCTTTAGACGACTTAATAGTCGTCTCTACAGACGATCTGAGAGTGATCTTTGTGGACGATCTGAAAGTCGTCTCTATGACGAAATAGAAGTCGTCTCTAAAGACGACCTGCTAGTCGTCTATAAATTCGACCTGATAGTGGTCTTTACAGACGATCTGAAAGTCGACTCTATAGACGATCTGAACCTGAAAGTCTTCTCCATAGACGATCTGAACCTGAAAGTCTTCTCTATAGACGATCTGAAAGTCGTCTCGGTAGAAGATCTGAAAGTCCTCTCCGTAGACGATCTGAAAGTCGCCTGTGTAGACGATCTAAAGTCATCCTGAAAGTCGTTTCTAAAGACGACTTGATAGTCATCTCTATGGATGATCTGAAAATAGTCTCAATAGACGATCTGCAAATCATCTCCATAGACGACATGAAAGTCGTCTCCATAGACGACATGAAAGTCGTTAAATCTTTGTTATTAATGTCGGACCCAATATTTAACTTGATTTTACAAGGACAAAGAGTTTTACCGAAGTTTTCTATTATATGACTGTCTTTAGAAAATTTAACGTTTTTTGACAGACATTTTTTTGAACTCCTTCTAATTCGTCTAGTAAGGGTTATTATTAGTTTTTCTTAGGATTTGGTACCAAAATCATGGTAATTGTCCTAGCAGGCAACATATTTTATCTTACGCATAGCTTAGCACCATTACTTGTGTTTTTTATCATCGACTACTGATTTTATATGAATTTGATACCAAAAATAGCGTTTTTTTATTTAAAACCCCTTGAATATTTTAAAGACGGAAAAATTAAAACAACCCTTCCGTAAAAAGCCGGAATTTATTTCGCTCTTATATTATAATTTAAATTTTAATTAGATTTGGGAAAAGGGTTTTCTACTTAACATAAAAAAACACATGGTTACGGTATTTTTAGTAAAAGGCAAAAGGGAAAGCTTTGCAAATCGTTAACTTACCACCGCTAAATGGGTTTTGCAATTATCCAAGTAGATTAGATTAATGCCAAAGAAACACAAATAATAACACATTCAAAATAAAGCAAATCAACAATTATTAACAATTAGGAAAATCAGCTTTAATAAATCAAATTTATAAAATATACTACCTGCAAACATAAATATATATCTATTACTATACAACAACAACAAAATATACAAACTCTCACTCCAAACACTTTCTAACAAAGACATATTTTATACTTATTATTAAAATTCCAACAACAACAAAAAACAACAGTTTAAATTAGAGGATGCCAATGCCGGCAATACATATCCACCGACCAATAGCACCATCATACCAAGTGCTCCAGCGGTTATTGCTGCTGCCAATTCCATGTCACAGCGTAGAATCAATAATGTGAACAATGCAAGTAAGTAAAATGTGTTTGGCATTCATTTACAGAAATCAATTCTAAACAATCTTCTCCTCCTCTCCTTGTTACAGTTTCTTCATCCAATACATCATTGAATTCAATTGGTAGACCCGTTTCGGCCCCACCGATTAGTAATTTAAGCAGCGGCATCAACAACACCTCATCAAACAACACCACCTCCTCAGCAACAACAACAGCAACCAGTTCCAGCAATAATCAAAAGAGCGATGACAAAACAACTGATAATAGTTCCACAACAACCAATACCACCAGCAGTAGTGGAATCGGTTCTTCATATTCAGCACGTCGTGCCAGTGCCAATACATCATCATCAGCATCGTCTACAACCGCCTTAAATTCTGAAACATCATCTGCAGCCTCAGCGGCTGGTAGCACCTCCTCCACAGCTACCAGTCTCAGCAATAATGATGATAAAGGTATTCAAACTTTGTGGATTCCCAATTAGAAAGAAATATAAACTTGCTTATGATTCTCTACCTCCCATTTCTAGATAATGATAAGGAAAATGATAATCGCAGTGCTTTGGCCACCCAAGCCGTCATACAACGAAGAAGAAAACCAAAACGTCGCTCAACTGGTGTTGTACATATTGATATGGATGTAAGTTGAAGGAAAAAAATGTTTGAAATTAGATTGGAGTAGGACTAGAGATACAAAATGAATTCCATATGTAAACGTGTTTTAAACAATTAGATTGTGTCTTAAAGTGAATGACTTGAAACAAATTTACAGGAAGAAGCTTATCAAAATTGTGAAATTCTATCAGTCATTTCTAGACAATTTTTTAAAACCTTTAACGTTTCTGGATATTTTAACACAATAGCGCTCTGTTCCAGAACCTGCAAGAATTTACTATTTATGCAATTTTTTTTAATACTATAAACGGATAGTCGCTTATTGTAGTAAACATTTTCACATTATTGCAGTTCTGGAACAGAACGAAAATTGGTCAGATTCTATCAGGCATTCCTAAACAAGAAATTATGTTTAAGTTTTTTTTTTTAACATCTTAACTATAGACTTTTTCAAAACAAGTTCGGAATATTTAATTAGGCGAATTATCTACATTTGGATCGTTAACTTAAAATCCCTTGGGAATTGTGTTATCCTGGCCCAATACTCTGATTATTATAGGATTTCTTGCAACCCAAATCATATTACGTCACAATCGATTTCAATTTGCTTGGTTTACTACATAGAAGTCAGCAGCTGCTCCACTCGACGACCTATTGTTCATAGATAGATAGAAAAAGTAAGGATATAGAATTGAAAAGGAAATAATGGAATATAGAGATTATTATTTTAGGGTGGTTTGCCTAGCCATTTGAGAACCTAAAGTTGAGAAGTTTAGAGTTTCTCTATCCCACCTTTGCTATAGCCCAAGCCTACTGTTTAATAAGATGAGACATATGTACAGGATGAGATAAAAAATACTGCAACAAAGTCCAACGCCGTTTTTTATTTTTTGTTTTTAATTTAAATTTTATTGAATGAAAACCAAAAATGTCGGAAATAGCATCAAATTTTAGAATACGTTTAGATTTGTTCGAATTGGTCACCTTTGGCACAAATTATACCCTTCAAACGGCAAATGAAACCGTCACACGCTGCCCGAATTTTGCTCTGCGGTATTTTGGCACATTCGCGTCGAACCGCTTGCTTGAGGTGATCGACACTTCCTTTCCAAAAAACTCCAGACACAATAGTCCAACGGATTGATATCCGGAGATTTTGGTGACCATTGTGCGCTGGAAATGATGCGAGGAACATTTTGTAACCATTCATGTGGCGCTTTCTGAGTGCGATGGTGCTGAGTCCTGTTGGAATGTCCAAACAAAATGTTTGTGTGCCAAAGGCTTTAATACACCCTCCAGAATATTTTCGCGATTATATCCGGCATTTATTCTGATGCCACGGTCGATTAATACGAGCAAACAGCGGCTGTTATGGCGGCCCACACAGTTCTGGTGGCAGACCGAGTTGTGGTCGTTTGAGTTCTGGTGGCCAACCGAAGTTCAACATTTTCAGTTAACCTCTTTGGCAAGTAAACACGATTATTTTGTTTGTTTACAAACTGCTGGAAAAAGAATGTTTTCTCATCGAAGAAAACCAAATTCGTCAGTTCACTACTTTCGGCCAAGCGAAGCAACTCTCTAGGTCTTTTGAGTCTATTGTCTATTTCAATGGTTTTACCCCGAGCTCATTTTTAAATATTTGCCGAATGCAATATTCACGAGCCATTTTTCGGCCACTGCGACGCAGCTTCCGATCAAGACGCTTCTTTACTTTTCGTTCCATTTCTGGTGATGTTGCTTTTTTCTTCCGTCCACTTCCTTGACGTCGGGCTACGCTACCAGTATCACGGTAAAGAGCGATGGTACGAGACACAAAATATTTATTCACATTTAAATGCAGGGGTGCTCTAACGATAGCCCCCTTGTGGTTTTCCAGCCAAATAAAAATAAATCACACTATCACGCTTGAATTCCATCACGAATAACTTTTTTTCTGGAAAATTCTCACCAAAATGCTTTCGTACGCTTGTAAACAATATAATGAGCTGTCACTGGAATAATTTTAACAGCTGTCGGACGAGTGGCTTAGAAATGACAGCAGTCTGAAATTGGTTGTAGTTTTTTCATCGCACCCTGTAGGTCCATGCTTTTCTATAGCTGTACCTATCGAAATTCAGTGGGTTTAATGCCGTAAGGGTGTTGGTCCTACATAGATGCCTGGCTTCACGAATTTTGATGTCGAACTCCTCTCCAATTTCGGCCTCCTCATTAGTATTAGGGCGAGACTGTTATTAGAGTTGCCTTTGAGGCTCCACATGCTGGCTTGTTATTGGCTACATCCTTGAATGACCCCTTTATCGAAGAGTGGTTCACAGGTGGGCATGTACTCTTTTTGATTCCGGTCGCTGGAATAGAACAGTAACGAAATAATTTTTTAGTTGTAGATGATTCCTTTTGATCGTGCAGGCTACCTCATAACCCATTTTGATATGGATCTTCTCTCTAAAACTGCATTTTAAGAATGTAGGAGATAAGTTTAACGATTTCTAGAGATTAAAAATGTCTTCTAAATTAAAATATAATCTCGTTCATTAAATCTAAAGAATTTACCAACCAATCACTTCTATCACTCACCACCATTCCAAGTTCTTCCATTCAAAATACTTCCACTGAGACGGAATAAGCATGACGAAACACTAATCAACTGTTTCTTATTTGCTAATCAATTTTATGCATGACAATTTTATTTCTCAAGAAAATAACCAAAATAATCTTTCCCAAAAACGAAAGATAGATCACCAGCAGCAAAGCAGCAGCAGCAACAGATCAGATCAAATCATACATTCCAACAAGATACAAGACATTACATTGTTTTCAAACCAAAATCAATCTCTGTATAACACTTGCAAATAATTAATCTTTTCTGCCTTTTTTCAATTGATTTATTTGTATTAAAATGCGTCTTTTGCATTTTTCAGGAACTAGATCCAGAGAAGCAGGATTCTGCCAACGACAATGAGGAAAAAGATAAAGAAAAGGAGGTAAGTGTGAATTTTTGTGTTTCGTAGTTGGATGGCGGCAGGCAGACCACTCCTGCCATCATCCATAATCATCAATCTTTTAGCAAAAAGAAAAAAAGTTTTCATATCTGTCTTTACAACAAATGCAAATTTCTTTCATCGCTCAACAATTATTATTTCTTTTGAGAAAATGACGAAAATCGTCATCATCCATGTGTGTGTGTGGGGGTTCATTCGTTAATCGCCTTCTGTTAATTTCTGGCGAAAAATGTGGAAATTAAATTAACCCCCGTCGCCACAAATCACATGATAATGGCGTTGTGTTAATTTTGCTTTATAAAATTATAATTGGGGAACGATTCACTAATAATTGAAATAATTACAAAGACAATTTTGAAAAAAGGCGACGGAATTTTATGGTTTCTTTCTCTCGTTTTGTAGACTTGTTGTGGTTCAATAAACATGGATGTACTACTTTTCTCTGCTTTTATTTTAATTAAAATAATTTTATTGCAATTTAGATAATTAAGATGGTCATTTTCAAGGAACTTTTGAATTTAGAATGAAGATATTTTCTATAAATTTCATAGAGGGGTTTGAGGAATATTTAAGAAAAAAATAAATAGAAAAAATCGTATTGTCTATCTGGACGACAATGAAAAACAATATATTAATAAAATAAGATGTTAGCCATATGTCTACAGAGTATATATATATATATATATATATATATATATATATATATATATATATATATATATATATATATATATATTATATATATATAATATATATATATATATATATATATATATATATATATATATATATATATATATCATTTGGTACGACCAAAATGTGCTCATCGAAATAGCAATTTTAGACCCCAGATGTTTTTGGGCCAAATTCATTTTAGGGAATTTGGAGTCGATTTAGGGTTACCCACCTGGCGGTCTGTCTTCCAGGTTTCCTCGATTATTACTTTGGTAGTTCTTCGATTTTATATATAGTCCTTCGAAAATTTTTCCTTAAAAATCCAACTTTCTATCCTCAATAGTCGAAAAAATTTCCAGGTTTCCACAAATTTATCTTTAAAACTCCTTGATTATTACATTTGGTAGTCCTTCGGTTTTATATATAGTCCTGTAGTGCTTCGACCATTTTTCCTTAAAAATCCACGTTTCTAGCTTCAAGCACTTCGAAGAATATTTTTAAAAATGTCTTGTTTACAGCATCGATAATCCTCCGATATTTATATTCAGTTTATAGTCTCAATAGTCCTTTAAAAATATCCTTTATTAATCCTCGCTTTTAGCCTTGATAGTCCATCAAAAAATATTCATTAAAAAATAAAGTCCTTATTGAAAAATAATATTTTAAATATCCACTTTTTCTAGCCTTAACAGTCGTAGTATCCCTTAAAAATTCTACTTTTAACAATATTTTTTCTAGTCTCAATGGTCCTTTAAATAATATTAAAAAAGGTTTCTAAAAACATATACTTAAAAACTCCTCGTTTATTGCCTTGTAGTCCTTCGAAAAATATTTTTTTAAAGATTTCAATTTTTCTTTAAAAATCCACATGTGTAGTCCTTCGAAATATATTCTTTAAAAAGTTCACGATGTTGTCATCGATAATCCTCCGATTTTTAATCCATTTTATAGCCTCAAAAGTTTCTAACCTCGATAATCCTTCAAAAATTTGTTAAAAAATCAGGTTTCCAAATGTAATTTTTTCAAGGATTTTGGATTTTTTAAAAATACTCTTTTAAGATTCTTTATTTTTTAAAAATATTTTATTTCAAGGACCATTATTGATTTTTCAGGAATTTCTTGAAATTAGGGTGGATTTTTTAAAAATAGTTTAACAAGGATTTCGTGTTTAAAAACATAATTAGGGTATTTTGTTTTTTTTTTATTTTTTCGACATCAACTTTAGTGACATAACTATACCGGATAGATACTTGGACTGTTGCGAACCTTCTAAGAGGGAAGAGGCACCGGCACTGACGTATTTTATTAGAATCCAATAATTAAACGCTCATATAAGCTCAATGACAACTGAAGCGGTTTTCAGTAGGAGATTCTCGAAATAAAGAGAACTTTTTTGATCCTCTTTCTTTTCAATTTATATTTTTCCTATCATAACTATTTCTTCTTGGGAACAATGAACCAATAGTCTCTGAGTGAAGCAGGCCATCCTGAAACCTAATCTAACCATATAATAAAGGCTGTCTGACGAACACCAACAAAGGGGTCGTAGGATATTCTTTCTATTACCACCAAGGCTTTAAATGTCGATTTTAAAAATAATGTTTATGGACCCTTTAAAAATATTTTAAAGAACCAACAAGATTTAGATTTTTAAAAATATTTTCCAAGACCTTCAAGGTCTCAATTGTGGATTTTTAAGAATATTTTTAAGGACGGCAAAGACCAATCGAGAATTTTTAAAAAGAAATTTTCAATGGCCAATATCGTGTATATTTTAAAATATTTTTTAAAGACCTCCAAAGTCATAGTCCATAATAATTATGGGTTTTTAAAAAATATTTTTTAAGGACCTTCAAGGCTACAATTGCGGTATTCTTAAGCTATTTTCGAGAACCACCAAGGACATAAACGAGGATTTTTTGCCTGAATATTTATAAATTTTTTTTTAAGATGTTCAAATTTGTAATTGGGGATTTTAGAAATATTTTCCAAAAGCGAGGGCAATAATTGTAGATTTTTAACATTTTCATGGACCACAAAGGCTAAAATCGTAAGTTTTTAAAACTATTTTCCACCACCAAGGACCACTAAATCTATAATCGTGGTGATTCTTGTGCTTTTCTTAGTGGTCCTTAAAAAATATAATACAAAAACAATACCACGCCACCACTTTCCATTTAATGACGCCACATTTTTATCAAACCAAAACTGACATCCACAATAGCTTTATTAAAATACAATTAGAAAACATCCATCAAATCGCAGTGGACATTTGGCTGCAATTTTAAGATTTCACTGTGTGTCCATCCATCTTTCAACCAATAAATAAATGCCATTGAAATTGGACATCTGTTGGCTACAAACAAAAAAAAATATGAAAAAATATTTATGAGTCAAATTTTGCAGGTTCTGCGAACAGATAATTATTTAGGACACGGCAAGAATTCAGGTCAATGCAACCCAACTTTTTCACACAATTCATAATTATATTGGGAAAAACAATTTTTTAATTTTTGACATGCCTTCCTTTTCGGCCACAGGTAGGTAAAAAGTGACAGCAACAAATCACAATCACCACCAACACAACCCACTCGGCATATGGGTGTGAACGTTGGACGACATCAACAGCCTTAAATGTTTTCAATTTAGACAGACGTTTCCTATTAAATTTTCTTTGTGCAGGAGAGACCCCCCCCCAGCCCCAAAACTGAAAAGCAAACGTAAGAATAGACATTGATGTCATCAAAAACACCTTAAAAATTGAATTGAAATAATTACAAATATGCGACACTTTGTTGATGATGGTGTTGTTTTTGTTGTTGCGGTTCTGTTTGCTTTTGCACAAGTGAAAGTTTGAACTAATTCTAAATTCGTTGGCGTAATGTGGCCAATTGTATACGAATGACAATTTGTTGGCATTTTTTGTTGAAATTATTTAGAACGTGCCTGCAAAGGTAGGCTTCCTCATTATTTTAGACATCAAGAGATATAGATACAGTAGGTTTTAAAAAAATATATATACAGGGAGAGATAAAAAACTACAACAAAGTTAAACGCCATTTTTACATTTTTGTAATTCTATTGAATGAAAGAAAAAGTGTTGGCAATAGCATCAAATTTTAGAATAAGTCTAGATTTGGTCGAATTGGTCATCTTTGGCACGAATTATGGCCCATTCCCGGCGAAGCGCTTGCTTGAGGTGATCGACACTTTGGTATTTTTTAGTGCTAACCTTGCTTTCCAAAATACTCCAGACACAACGGATTGGTATCCGGAGATTTTTGTGGCCGTTGTGCGCTGGAAATGAAGCGGGGAGCCTCATTTTGTAACCATTCTTGAGTGGCGCGTGCTGAGTGCGATGGTGCTGAGTACTGTTGCAATGTTCAAGATCTGCGGCCAAAGGGTTTGCGTGCCCAAGGCTTTAATACACCCTCTAAAATATTTTCGTGACAATATTCGTCATTTATTCTGATGCCAGGGTCGAATAATACGAGTGTAGAGCGACCATTGGCTGTTATGGCGGCCCACACCATCACCATGGCCGGTGCTTGAACTCTGGTGGCCAACCGAATATACACATTTTCGGCTGACCTCTTTGGCAAGTAAACACGATCATTTTTTTTTTTACAAACTGCTGGACAACGAATATTTTCTCATCGGAGCGAACCAAATTCGGCAGTTCACCATTTTCCGCCACGCGAAGCAACTCTTTAGCTCTTTTGAGTCTTTTTTTCTGTTGCGGGGTAACTTCTTGCACTTTTTGGAATTTTGATGGCTTTACCCCGAGCTCATTTTTCAATATTTACCGAATGGAATATTGCGATATGTTCAGCTCATAAGCCATAAGCTCAAGTCGCTTCTTTTATTTTCGAACCATTTCTGCTGATGTTGCTGTTTTCTTCCGTCCAATTCCTTGACGTGACGGACTACGCTACTAGTATCACGGTAATGAGTGATGGTACGAGACATAGGAGGTTTATTCACATTTAGATGCTGGAGTGCTATAACGATAGCCACTTGTGGTTTTCCAGCCAAATATAAAGAAATCACACTATCACGCTTGAGTTCCATCACGAATAATTTTTTTTCTGGAAAATTCTCATCAAAATGCTTTCGTACGCTTGTACACAATATAATGAGCTGTCACTGCAATAATTTTAACAGCTGTCGGAGGAGTGGTTTGAAATGACAGCAGTCTGAATTTGGTTGCAGTTTTTTCATCTCACCTTGTATGTAAGATCTTCTATACCTAGAAGACGGTTATAGGATATTTTAGTCATAGAAGACATCTGGTTGATCTTTTCCTC